AAAGTTTGGTATTGACACCTGAACATTTTAGTTGTCCATTGTTACATTTTTTGATTAAAAAGCGTTTCTTTATTTCCGTTTGAAAAAAAAACTTTTGGAAGGATTTTTCTAATTTTTTCTTCATTTAAATCTTTCCTCCAAGAAAGTTTGGACATTTTTAGCGTAAAAAAATATTATGCCCATTAGTAACATGTCTGTCTGGCTAACTGTTTGGATGTTTGTTGGTTTGTATTTAAACAAAAAGATCAAAAAAAAGAACGATGAAAAATAGCGACTCAGGAAAAGCCACAAATTAAGTATAAAATTTTATTAGATATAAAGCTAAAAGTTTAGTTAGAAAAGAGCGCCTATAGGTTGTTAGTTTCGGAATGTCATGCAATATGGTTCTCCGGTATCTTTAATGACCATGTTGTAGTTTTTGTAATAAAGATTAGTGGTACTTAGGCAAATTAATGTTTGCATGAATGGAGGAAGAGGGGTGGGTGGTAGTGCACCCCCTAGAATTTACAATGTTCTCAATTTTTAAGACTTAAGCTTTATAAAGTTAAAGTAGATAAAATAATTGATTCAAGCTTATATATATCTATAGTTTCGTAGAAGTAACTATTTCCATTAACCATGTGCCGATTGAAGAATTCATAACTCTGATTGGATAATGAGGTAGATAGAAAGATAGATGTTACCGCTATTCTATTTCTATTGGTTCAGAATTGACAACAAACACATTTACTGAACCCGGATTGGATCAGGCGCTAATGGACTCGGCATCCAGGAGTGATATGTTGACATAAGGAATCGTAACTGAACTAGTTTTTATTTTACAAACATGTAGGAGAGAAACAAACCCGTTTAGTTGCATATCATAAATAAATTGAGTCAAATTTTCTAATCCCTATATCTTCGCAACCTGAGGATTTCATACTTAAATTATTTCATCTAACAGAGTTTGATGCAAATATTTGATTAATTTACATTTATTTGCTCATCTTAAAAACTAAACAAAAATTGAATAATTTGACGTCGATCAGATTGTGAAACTTTGCTATATGATCATTCAATATTTCAAAATGGATGAAAACGTTTTTAATTCTCTTTTTTTCCAATTGAAATAAAATCCAATATGTTTCCGTCAAAAAGAAATTATTTTTAGCTGGAACCAATCAGTTGAATTAGTTCCGATGATCATTAAATCTTGTGGTTTTGTTCCATATGTTCTTCAATATCGGAGCAACTGTGGAACAATATAACCTGGAGCTAGGCTCAAGTTCCCCCTAGAGCTATTTATATCAATCCTGGAGCTAGTTTTCATTTGACAAATCAGCCAGCTTTCCAAGATTCCTTACAGATTTTTTTCAAATGGACTAAAAACACAATTTCAAGTGACCCTATATATACATGTCCGATTTACAACGAAATCAGTTGACATTTAATCTAGTTTAACAATCAGGAGAAGATCACAATTTTTCTATCTTTCTTTCTTGTCTGTGCTGCAGATAGTTACTTATAAGACGTCACCCTTTATAATGGAGATTCAATTATACATCACGTGATCATTGATCAAAAACTTTCTCGCTCCCATTTTTGTTTTTTGTTCTGTTTTGGTGTTATTGTAGGCTTTGTTTCTTTGTCTAATGGTATTAGTATTCAAAACTTTCCTAGGTAAAAACATTCTCATAGATATTATTCGACCAAAACCTTATTAAAACCGTTCCAAATAGTAATACATTGTTATTTTAGATTGTGTACAACATGAATTTTTAACGACCAATTACCTTTTTCGAAATGTTAGCTAGGTCATACATTTCTAATCATTTGTTGAAAAATTAAATAATAATAAAAACAGTCTTATTGGTGTATGCAGCGCTGTCATATTACCAATATTACTAAAGAACCTGCTTATTTGGAATTATTAATCATAACAATATTGAACATTAATATTCACATTTGCTTCCAACGTTACTAGAAATAGTAAAATATGTTGCAAATTATTTGTTTACATGTTGCAATCTTAATAATTCTTGATTATATTTCAATATAATGGTTAGTAGAAAAATTTTAAAAAATTGTAAATATTATTCTTCCCCTCCTCACCTTAAAAATACTTACAGTGGAAAGGTTTATGTAGCTAAAAATATACTCATACAGCCTCACACCACTGTGAACTGGATAGAGCCAGAGGGTCGATTGTTATGCAACATTACTGGAAGGACTTGTGACCTCATAGCTCTCATAGTTTTGAATTTATGCATATGTATGGGAAAAGCAAAGGAATATATCTTGTTAATCTGAGGGCAAAATCCTTTGATATTTCAAACTCAGATTTTTGGTTTAGGAGAATGCATAGTTTGAAATATCTGAGGTCTACGACATTGGGTTGCAAAGATATAGGGATTTTAAAATCTTAGTTTGTGGCTCAAGACTCAATTCCTTTATTCGGTTTTGCATATAAAAGAAATTTGAAACAGTAAGATTATTCTCAATAGCAGTTCAATAAGAGGTGATAGGAGTGAACACAGATTTCAATTTACTTAGCAACTAGTATACTAAATAGCTATTGCTTAGTTACATTAAAATGTTAACTTACTAACTTAAAATCCAATTTACTTAGCAACTAGTATACTATATTGCCTATTGCTTAGTTACATTAAAATGTTAACTTACTAACTTAAAATCCAATTTACTTAGCAACTAGTATACTATATTGGCTATTGCTTAGTTACATTAAAATGTTAACTTACTAACTTAAAATCCAATTTACTTAGCAACTAGTATACTATATTGCCTATTGCTTAGTTACATTAAAATGCTAACTTACTAACTTAAAATTCTAATATCAATTTCAATATTATTAATAATCCCTACAGATATCCCCTAATTGTCCGGACAATAATTGAATTAGGTTTGGATCATAGATTTATAAATTATGGATAGATCTACCACTTCAAGGTCATTGTTCATAAACTGTACAGTTATTTTTATTTATGATTTTAATGTTTTTGTCTATGGTTGTTTTTTTTGGTCATTTTTGCATATGAGTTAAGAGGCTCGTATGCGTCGTCTTGTACACAAGTTGTCTCTGATTCCTGGTTTCCGTCTGTCACGTCACGTACATAATTTGTCTATGGTTAGGGGTGTGGGAAATGGTTGAATCAAGGTATGTAATAAAGACCAATATATTCCTCGTCAAAATACGGCAGACATTTTGATTTACAAACGACGAAATTTTAGCAACACCTATTTCCACTTTGATTTACAGGTCTCAAACTCTAGAGCAAAACTCTATGAGAATTTTGCCAATTACTTCTTAAAAACCAAGGCTTTGTAGTGCTAAATGTACATGTAAAGGGCTACAGAAAAGCATAAGTGCAAGCTAACGCGGAAAAATCAAAGCCCAAGGGGTTGCGAATTTTTATAATCTGCAGTCTGAATGTATGTGCTACACTAAAAGTATAAAAAATTACGATGAAGTGTATTCTAACTGGATTGGAATATTTTCAGTCTTATTTTAATATCTTAAATTCTTCAAAAATTCGTCCAAAAGGAACTTATTTATACTTAAAAATATAAAATATCTAAAAATACAAAAAAATCTACATTTTATGAGTGAGAATGGATTCTTAAAATGTAACGCACAGGATGTATGTCCTTCATTTTACCGTAGTTAAGTTATTTTTCATTCTTTTTTTTAACCCTATCTCTACTTGAAAACCAGGATATGCTGGGGGGGGGGGTCAATTTGACCCCCCCC